AAAAAAAAAAAAAAACATTTACGTTCTTGTTGAAAAAAGAGTCACATCGCCACAAAAAGAATTATTTTCTTTACAAAAAAATTGCCATGTCAACATTTTATTAATTAATAATAGACCATTTTGTTGTAGTTGGAAAAAATAAATCGAGGGACCATTCAGGGAAAAAATATGTTAAGGAATCAAAATGACTCAATCAAGAGTTGGGGAACCAATTCATACATTAAACCTAAATAGAAACCTTTTTTTCTTATTTATTTTGCTTGATTCTTTAATTTTCAAATACATAATGCTTTAAATTTCATGGGAGAATTGTAAAACATGGAAATTGCAAAAAGGGTTGTGCATTGGCCTATAGTAGAAACTTGCGTAACCTCGGAGAATGAGATGAGGCACCTAAATTTCATCGACTAGAAAATAAAAATATTACCCCGTATTGGGCTTGTGCAAAGGACAAATGCCAGTTATTGCACGAAGCATTGAAAAAAATTCTACCAAAAAAAAAAAAATAAACATTGAAAATACCCACCATTTCTGGTGAGATGTGGGGGCACTCCACATGAAATCCAGTGGGAGTGGGAGGCTTTTGACAAACAGAGAGTCAACCACTGCCCAAGAAGCTGACCAACCACTCATGCCCTTTCTTATTTACTGAAGCTGTCTCTGTGGATCGACCATGATCCACGGGATGGGAACACCCTATTATTATATTGAAGAAATGGTTACCATAACGGAGAGGAAGATTAAAAAGGACACATGTTTATTGGATTAATTAATCAAATTAGTAGGACATTAGTCAAAAAAGATTTGAAGAGCGATGTATTTTGATTCTGATTTAGAACTTTAACGTGTGGCTTTTGTCTTGTTACCCAGTAGAGTTTCTGTTGATGCACGGAATAGCTAGAATTGGCAGAAGGTGCAATTCAGCCCCTGTACCTGCAATGTTGTGGCAATTCAGCCCCTGTACCTGCAATGTTGTGGCAATTCAGCCCCTGTACCTGCAATGTTGTGGCAATTCAGCCCCTGTACAAGAAACACTGGCAAATCAGCCCTTCTACTACTTGAAATCCGCAAATCACCCCTTCTGTTAAGGATGACGTTAGAAAACTTCATTTTTCCGTTTCATTTTTGTG